AGAAGGCCATGCTCCCTCCTTGCTCTAATTCTAATATAAAAGGAAGCAATTAAAGGTGTCCCCTTGGTGCTTCATTTGTGCCAAGAAGTGTTTCAACTAATAAGGTACAAGGTCTGGACAGGGTTCCCCTCAAATTCCCATTTAACCCCTTTAAAACAGAAACAATTTTCCAAATGTCAATGCCAACTTCTTTTCTGCATGGCTTATACTTGATAAGGAATTCAACCTTAGAGGAAAACAAATTGAAATCACAGAAGGTTGCCATGTTCATTTTGTGTGAACTGTTTCTCAAGATGTTGATTGTTCTTCCCGCGAGAGCAATGCCTGGGGGGCCCAGGTTCTCACCTGAAATGAAGGAACTCGGGTCTGGCTGCAGGGACCGGAACTGATTGACATAGTATTCGCGCTGTTCTGCTGTTATCCTCCAGGGTTCGTCAGGGTAACTGCTGCTGTTATCCTGCAGTTCTCTCTCCACTGAAAAGGACTTCAAAATAAATTTTTTTTTAAAAAAAGCAAATGCTCAGAAAGCCTGTCTTTAGTGAGACGAAGTAGAAAAATTAAACACCGTAAAAGTGATTATGCATTATACTTAATTTTTCTTCCTCCGAGGAATAAATGTAACCACCTCATAACCAGACTGTAACTAGAACAAAAACTTAAGGGCAAATATCATACTTTAAATTTTTTCTGCATTCCTCAAAGTTGTCAACAGGACTGAGCGTGAAATACTGAACACTTGGTGAGTGACAAAAAAATTTTCCAGTGTGATGAAGGAAGGGTTAAAAAAAATTATCATTCTTATCTTCAACTATTCCCCACATTTTGATCTTTTCATATTAGTTGAGTGGATAGTAAAATAATCTGTATGCTTTTAAACTATGGGGGAAAAAAACTAGAACAGCTATAACTACATTGTCTTTTGTTCTGTCACGTTTACACCATATAAATCTGGGAGTCAAAAGCTCGGATTCAAATCCCACATCCCCAGGTCCTACTTGAGTGGTAAGTCAGGATAAGTCAGGACCCCTGAGCCTCTCATTCTGCATTTGTGAACTGCGGATAAATAAGGCTTAGTAATAGAGCTGGGTGATGAGAACAGCTGTCATGGTAGGTATCACAAACAACAGGGTAACAAGGGGGTGCATCATACCTGTCACTAGAGGGCGTGCAAGTCAAATTTGAGGATTTTTAAGAGCTCAGAAAACCAGAGTAGCGCAGGAGAAAACAAAGCTATAGTAGGCATTGGGGAAAGAAGCGAAAATGTAGATGCTGGGAGGAGGAGTTGGGCCTTTGTTCATTCCTTCCCATCTACCTTAAGGCTCACACGCCACTTGCCAAGGGCCACCTTCATGGAACCAAGAGGTGAACACAAGAAGGGTAAGGCTTTAGGACAAAAGGAGACTAGGAAAGAAAGGGAGGGGTATTACTGCTATAGAGCCATCAAGTTGCCTGCTTCTGAACACATGGTCGAAGAATTAATCCCTGGGAGGGCATTCTACCCACTATCGCTAGGAAAGACAGCTGGCCCTCTCCTACCCCACCCCGACTACACCCCCACACACATACCATTCCCACACAGCCATTCCCCCCAGGAACACGTGTCTCCCCTCTAACAGTGTTCAGAGAAGAAAGGAGACTGAAATTGTGAGCTGTGATACAACCTTGAGATGTCATCTTTGAAGTAAAATATCTATTACTTTGACATCTGAAACCTTGGGCTAAGAGTGCTTTGGGAGGGCCAAGACAATGAGATGAAATACCGCCTGCGGAATGGATATTTCCAGAAGTGCCGAGTGAGAACGCACCCAGCAAAGAGGCTACTCCTCAAGAAAAACACCTGGGT